TCGAGCATAGGGTGAATCGACTCGGTAATTTCTACCCCTACGAGAGCTCACCCTTCCCGCCCTCTTGCTCGGCACATTCCTCTTTTTCTTCGACGTTTCTTCTGAATGGGGATGAGAGGGCTGACGAGGGCGTTGCCCTCGGCAGAAACGCCGGTGGACTTGACGACCAAGTCGGTTCGATACGACAATTCGAGAAGCTGAGAAGCAGCAGTCTTCGTTACTCGAGTTGATCAACAGAGCGTATTTAATCGATTTTCTCCCCCTCTGCACTTCTCGTCGCGATAATTTCCAGACTATATCGAAATACAGCGTGATATATATATATTTTTTTTTTCTTCCCTCCCCCTACTACTTTCACATTTAACTAACCGAGTGTATATACATTCGACAGTAGACAAGGGGCCTTTAGAACCTTCCGCGTTCCGATTCAAATCGGAAGTCGATAGTTTCGTAACGAAGGCTGATCGATGATATTTATAGCGGTTATACGTAATCGTCATCATTAACTACGTAAACGACGTAGACCATGACGTTCTACGATACGTCATAGAATGATCAATTACTTACTTTGAAGTTCCCCTACGTCAAACTTTTATTTTTACGCTCAAACATAGTTGCATAGTTATGTATTGCCTGACCTGTAAATAAATGTCACAGGTCACTCTCCGCCACATGCACGCCAGTATATGTACGAACGAGCTAATTCCTATCACATAGAGAGAAAGAGAGAGAGAGAGAGAGAGAAAAGTTTAAAAGTAGCCAATTTTGTAAATCGCGTCTAGTTTTTCTACTTTTTTCCGTGTGAAAGGCAGCCGATCGATCGATTCTCTCGGCAATAAACTTGCTGCCATCGAATCTAATAATTCCGTAATATATCCAATTTTCTCTGTGAGCAACGATTTTCCAAACAGAAAGTTTCAATGAATCATGATTAATTCATGTTCTCGGTTAATTAATTATTTCCGATCGATGCCCGAACTCGATTAACGAACTTGACGATTCGCGGCGAGCAATAAAACGTGGGCTTGTCGTGCGAGAAAGATAATTTTGCAAAACCCTTAAAATTTCTCTGCCAGTGAGAAAGAACGCGTTTGTTCGACGCTCACGTGGACGACGTTCTGCGAACTGTGCGAAACTGTACGCATGTATATATGTGCACGAGGGTTTGGTGCAGTCATCGAGACGTTCGATACTGGTGACGCAATACGGTAGCTTTCCCAGAGGAGGAGGGCTGGGTGGGTCCACGAAAATCTGAATGGAAGCAGCTACTGAAACTAGGTCACACAAGGCTTGACTATTACTTGACATATCGCCAGCCAATCAGCTGACGAGCATAGAGGATTCTTAGTTAGCGCCGACGCTCTCACCAAGTGCATAATTTTTTCTTTTTTTTTTTACGTGGAGGAAATCTTCGATAAGACACACCTGAGCCTTCTCTCAGGGCAAGACCCAGGTAATGTCGGAGTTTTACCGACTAAAACACCTCCACGATGGCCGGTCTCTGGGACCTTTTTATATAAATATCTTTCTTTCCGCTTGAATAGGGGTTCGAGGGTTTCCCTGGACCCTCAGATTAAGAGTCTGATGCTCTGAGTGCATAATAATTCAACCCGGGATTTATATTCAACCGACGACACGCCCCTGCGATAGATACCACCACCGTCACCGGGGGCGAGGAGGAGGAGGAGGAGGAGGGGGGA